TTTCAAATTCCATATAAATGGTTTAATACTATTACAAAGTATTAATATTCATACTGATCGTTCGTTGAATTCTTTTGTTATTCTTAGGATAGGATATTTTTAAATGCTCAGTTTTACAGACATTGGAATGGTAAGATAGAACTAGGCGACTGCATGATAAGAGACCCAAACGGGAACACCTTTAAACTTAATTTGAAAAATTTAGGACAAATTGTTGGCATGTTTTATGGGGTAAAACAAATTGTAAATTTCTATGGTCTGACATCCAAACACATGGTTGACTTCTACTACAATGACACTAACAATTTTCATATGCGTATTTATAATTTTGCTGAGGAGGAAATATGCTATCCTCAGTTGAAAAAACAAACCAACAACACTTCAACAGATATCGGGTAAAGTTTACATACACATAAACCCAATGTATTATTATTTTATTAATATTTGTACTAGTAAATTACAGTTTTTATTTTCTCAGCATGGATACTGTGCAAATTATGCAACCTGGAATTCAAAATCAACATTTAGTTGACAATGATGAAACCATTCCACCAACCCAACTTGAAACACATCCTGCAACCCAACTTGAAAAACATCCAATAAGTTGGTTTCCAACGCTGACAAAGGCCGCTTCAACCAGACGACAGCCATTGGTCAGCAATAAAATGAATTCTATTTTTAGTTTTTATATTTATAAATGAATATTAACATTTATCACGAACAACTTTTACTCATTGCAGTATTTTCTAGTCAAATATGTTGATGTCTGGAACGTGAACAACTACAAAATTTGTGTGTTGATTGATGAGCAAGGAAATATGGTGAAGTCTGACATTAAAAGAAAGTGTACAAAGCGTAACAAAAAGGAGTTTTACGTGGGCAAAGAATGGGGTCAACTGATTAAGCGACAAGGATACAACGAAGACCAAATGTTGAAAATTACATATGCGGAGTGATACATGACATATATGTTTCATCTGACAAATAATTATAAAATACAATATCATTTTAATCCCTAGAACTATAACATTGTGTTACTTTAGACCCTGAAATTATAATTCAATATCATTTTAGTTCCTAAAGTTTTTAAGTTGATGTCACTTTAATTATTCCTCAAACATTATCATAATTTTATTTTAGTTAAATAATTATGAATTTAATATTTTCACAATAAAATAGTTAATTAAATTAATATTATAAATAGAATAATAAATATATTCAAATCATATTAAAAATTTTGTATTTAACATTGTATTAACCCCTATGCATAAAACACCAACAATTATATAACACAATAACACTTTTAGGAGTTTTTTCTTTGACAAAAAGATTTTTAGAGATTCTTTTAATTTCATACATAATTTGATTTTTATTTATCATAAATATTTATGGATTAAATATTAATTTTTAAAATAAATTATCATTAAATAAAAATATTATGCTATAATATAAAATATTTATCATAAATCTAAAATACACTTTATATATTTAAAATGAATATTTATTCAATTTTATATGTATTTTATATACTCAAACATAATATCTATTCATATACATAATTTATTTTTAATTTAGTTATATATATTAAGGATTTAACATGTACATTGCACATACTAAGATACTAGTTTTTTTTTTTAATTTTAAATATATTATATCTCTTCTTCTGACAATTTTCCTCTTCTTTTATCCATTTTATTTTTTAAAATACATAAATAAAAAAAGTTTTATAATTTTCCTATAGTTTTATTTTATTTTCATAATTGATTCTCTTATATAAATTATTTCTTAATTTTATATTGTGAAAAATATTTACTACTTTCATTTACCAAAAAATAACTTTTTATATCTTTTATATTCTATTTTTATTTTAATAATAATATATATATAGGAATTTTTTTATTCATGTATAAAATAAATTGAAATAAAAAGAATAAAAATTTGACGATTGAAGGATATTATCATTGTAGTTACGATATTAACTTAATTAATTTATTTTATTTTGTAAATATTAAATTCATAATTATTTGATTAGAATAAAATTATGATAACGTTTGATAATTAAAGTGACATAAAATTAGAATTTTAAAGACTAAAATAATATCAAGTTACAATTTTAGGGACTAAAGTCACAATATTATAATTTTAAGAATTAAAATGATATTGTATTTTATAGTCATATGCTACATAAAACACACACACACACACACATATATATATATATATATATATATATATGTGTGTGTGTGTGTGATTGTGTCGCATGACATGACATGTTTTACTCCATATATGTAGTACGTATATTACTTGACACTATCATGTCATGTAAATAATTTCATTTAAAAAAATGAAATTTATTTAATAAAAAAATTTAAATAAAAGACATATTATATTTTTAATAACTTTTTAAAAATTTCATTAGAATTATAGAATAAATTAACAGTGTCATAATTTCAGGAATTAATTTCATCATTTATTTTATAATTAATTATGTGTGCAGCTTTTTGATAAAACTTCAATATCATATGTGTATCTTTTTAGCATACAGATATAGTAGTAGCTCTTAAATTCAAACTTAAAATCATATATATATATATATATATATATATATATATATAGCATATGAATGTGATTTTTTTTTTTTTTATCTTGATTAAAGCGTTGCAGTACAACTTGCTATATAGAACTTTTCCGTGAAATTCTTTAGCACTCTGAACATCGTCGCAAATGTTCATACCTTAGTTCCCAAGTGTAAAGGGACATTAAAAACTTCTAACTAAATTTCCACATGACCAATGCATCGAAAGGGGGAAACTGATCATGTTTATATTAAGTAGCGACCCAGAAATTTTAGGTATAATGGGAACAAGATGATATCTCATACTTTGTATGATAAAATTTTAAACAATAAAACTCAAATGACAGCTTGATATTTAGTATTGTTAAAAAAAATGATACATTGTCGTCATAAAAGAAAAAACGATGGTCCCCATACCACCCTTTATAGGTCCGTCCCTACGTATGTTCACATATATTAGAAAAGTCATAAAAAAAAATAATAAGATGAGAAAAATAATACATTATCCTCTTTTGTATCTCTTAATTTTTATTAAGTGATTTTGTTGGTGATTATTGCTTGCTGGGTATATGATTCTGACTTAATTTTGGCAATACTTTTGATAATGATGATTGATTTCATTTTGTAGTTGATAATTTTTTTTGGGATTGCTAGTTTAGTTGTTCTACCTATTAATTTTAAGTTTTTTATTGTATGATGATTGTAAATTGATTTTAAGAGATATGTAGTTATTGTGTTATTTTCATTAAATATCTTTTTATGTCAAAAATCTATTACTTACTTTGATTATGCCGTATATATGAGTTGGAGTACCCCTTATAATATAAGGTATCCTCAATTAATTAGTGATTACACATTACACCATTTGGGTGTGAGATTAATTAATCCACCTATCAATTTGGCTCCACACGCAAGGGTATTTCTAATGAATTTCAAACTTCAATAAATGTAAGCAACAATTGAGTCATATATACGTACCACGGAAAATTTTAAAGTTGAGACCTCTTCTTAATTCAACACTTATCAAGGATGGAAATTTTTTTAAGACTTACAATCGGAATTCTTCATTACTACAGTACCACAGAGAGAAATAATTAATGCAAAGTACTGCAGTATTTATGCTATTAATTATGAGGTGTAATCACAAGTTCGGCGTCCAAAGTTATAAGAAAATACTCAATTTAATATTATAAGTTGTCAAATACTACTGTATTTGAAAATCACCAATTTTTTAACCTTTTCCTTAGCATCTGTAGGTGGTATAAGCCTTATCATTTATTAAACACTTTATTAATAGCAAGTTACATTTAATTATTTTAGCATTGTGCATGTTTAGATTATTTATTTACAGCTATTTTAAATTGTATACAATTAGTTTATAATAAATTATATATAAATAAATATCATATTTAAATATATAAATTATATTTTGAATTTGTGATAAAAAATTTGATATTGTAGTATAATATTTATTATCTATTGATAATTTATTTTGAAAATATTAAAAATTAACTAATAAATAATTATATTAAATGCAAATCAAATTAGATAAAAAGTTAAAAAAAAAATCTGAAAAAAAGAATTCATTAAAGGGTCCTTGAGGAAACAACCCTTAAACTTCCCGCAAAATTAAGGTAAAAGAATGACCATGTCAGCGGATTTGTAAACCCAATCTCTCCCATGTAACAACACGCGCGTATCTGTGCACCAAAAAGAGAGAGAAGCCAGGATCACACATACGTGTTTGAAGGAGAAGTGTGGTTCCAAATCTTGAACCATGATGTTCAGAAAATTCAAACGCTTTTACTCTTTTCGTTCTACGTGTTCACGCTTCAAATACCAAGTATTTTCTTGACTTCACCCTAAGCCCTTAATTAATTTCAGAAAGTTTATTTAATGAAAGCCCTTTTCTCCCAAATTTAACAAAGTTGTATACTCACACATCTTTGTACCACATATCTCACTGACATTAAAAACTCTCCCCCACCCGGAAAGAAAACACAACTACAAACAACAAAACAAAGTTTGGTTTGAAAACAAATAAATTAGGTAGAAATTAAGTTAGCTTGTGGAAGGAGCCATGCAGCGTTTGCCCACCAAAGTGTGCAAAATAATGGGTCGTTCAGCATGCGACGTGTTCATAAACCACCGTGGGATTGACACGAAGAGAAACGTTGCGGGTTTGTTGTACGATAATCTTACGAGAATGAGAGTGAGGTCGTTTTTGGACAGCATGAACATGAAACCCGGGGACAGGCTCTTCGACCACATTGACAAGGCCATCCTCAGTTGCAAGGTTGGTGTTGCTGTCTTCTCTCCTCGTTACTGTGACTCCTATTTCTGTCTCCACGAACTCGCTCTTCTCATGGAGTCCAACAAAAGGGTCGTTCCTATCTTCTTTGACGTCAAACCGTCGCAGCTAATGGTCAAGGACAACGGAACCTGCCCTCCTGAGGAGCTCAAAAGGTTCACTTTCGCACTCCAGGAAGCTAAAAACACCGTCGGATTGACCTTCGATTCTTCCGATGGGTAAATATACATATTCATACACATTTTTATTTATTTATTAGTTATAACGATAATTAATTTTGTAAAAGAAAATTTGACCAATCACTTTTAACAATATCTATTTTTTTATATACAATATTTAAATTAAAAAATATTCAAAATCTTAATGTAGTGTGATGTTGGATTTTGATTTTGATGTGATGGGTTTTGTATTTTCAGGGACTGGTCGAAGCTGCTGAAGAATGCTTCAGATGCGGTGATCGTGAACTTGCTTGAGGTAGAGGAAGAAAGGAAGTACGCGAGGAAGAAACGTTGAATGCTTCAATGTTCATATCGTTGGGTATAGAATTCGTTTATTTTTTCCGTATATAATATGGGATCTTAATTAGGAAAGAGACCGTATGCATTCCTTTGACTTCATTCACTCTGGCCTGAATTCGCTTAATAATTGGTTTAGGCTTTCAATTCATTTGTATTACAAAATTCTTTGATTCCTTTCCTCTTTTTTTTTTTCTCCTTCTAGTTTTGTAGTCCTTTGCCTAATTAATTGTATAATTTGTAGATCTTTGTAATCCATTTTACGCTGTATCTTTTGTATTCCATCCCATAATTCGGGATTTATATAGGACATTGTAACAATTACAAGCTTCAAAAACAATAAATTGTAGTTTATTTATATTTATATTCTTCGGCTTATATTATTAATATATTTGTATGTTGAAATCACTGTGTTGAATCCATGATCGGATTATTAAGACAATGTTCTAGTTTCATCTTTAACCAGATTTTATTTATCTTTCGACTAAACTAGAACACTGGTAAAAAAAAATTTTGTTATATGCAAAATGTAATAAAAATTACTATCTTTATTTCTATATAATAGTTGTTTAGATTTTTTCTATACAAACTAAAAAATAAATAAATATTCTTATTTTTTAATAGAATACTTTAAATATTTCTTATTATATCATGTTTCATGATAAATGCATATTAGTTGTTATGTATAAATTAATTAAAAGTTAAATGAGATATAAATATATAATTGATAACACAGTATTATTTTAAAATTTGAAAATAACAAATAAATATAAATAAAATTTATTAAAAAAATGACAAGTAAAAAAAATGAAGGGAGTACAATAAGAAGAAAAATAAACATAGAAAAAAGAGAAGTGTAAAATAATGTAATTAACATGATAAATAAAACAGAAAACAATATTATGAGAATTTTAGATGAAAATACTTGTCATGTCCTTATTATAAACCACAAGTTAAAAAAAAGTGATTATTTTTATAAAACAATTTATAATTTCTAACTTTTTATAAAGCATGAATATATATATATATATATATAGAGGAGGGATCCTTTTACTCCAGGAGTAAATTTACCTAAATTTACTTTGTTCAATAAGTCATGTTTTATATCAAATTTTAACGATCCAACCGTTCAAGTTAAAGTTCTTAATACATAGATCAAATCTGCAAATTTTTAAAAAATTTAAAAATCATTTGATACTTTGTAACATCCCAAATTTTATTTAATGAAAAGAAATATTTTTTTTATGTATTTATTATGTGAATAAGTATTTTATTTATGTATTTTACTATTCACATATACGTATTTTACTATTCATGTATACGTATTTTACTATTTATGTATACGTATTTATGAATAGTATTTTACTATGCAATTGCACAGTAATTTTGAAAAAACGTAATTATTTGGATGAATAGTATTTTACTATTCATGAATAGTAATTATATTATTATTTTAATGAATAGTATTTTACTATGCAATTGCACAGTGAAGGGGCGGCTGAAACGTGGGCTGCGGATTCTTTCCGTTTCAAAATTTTAATTAATTTGAATATAATAATGAATAGTGCATAGTGCATAGTAATTTATAATATTATTTTAATGAATAGTGCATAGTGCATAGTAACTTCAAAA